CCGTCTGGCACAGCATATAGATGTACTTCATTGGCAGCATATTCAGTAATAATTTTCTCACGTACCACCAACTTCTCAGAGATAAACACTACTTGGTTTTGTGCAACCAACAATGCATGCTTGAGCGTATCATGTCGTTGAGTAATTCCTCCATAGATGGACGCTTTTGATGACGCTTACAGCGATCATAGCGAGCAAACGTGCAATGCACTATTTGCACACTAAAAACTACCTAGTCTGACATTTTGTCCTTTTTTTACTTCTTAGTTTTTTGCATAATACGACTGCGGTACTGTATTTTCTCTACGGCACTGCCGTACTGCCTGTGGTGTTTCTCAGACACGGTATAATCATATCCATTTCAACCTTATGCAACCAGAAATACAGAATATTGTGTGTTCGGTTATAGAACGAGTATCAATAAAACTTCATAAATATAAAAGCTTTTAGGAGAAAAATTACAGTGGACGTAAAGTACGGGTAGGTAGTGATTGCAAGGAACATTAAGAGGTGGCGCACAAATGTTGACGGGAGATAAAAATGATATATTTTCCTTCCAGGCCGCTGTTTGGCTTTAGAAAACAAAAATTAAGAGTGGACTGAATTTTTGAACGAAAAAGATGTATGAAGAGACCACAAAATAATCAAACCCAGAGGGATGCGAAAAGCTACGGGTTAACAGGTTGAATGCTACCGGAAAATTTTCAGAAATCTGACCTAAAACAACAATTTGATTTAATCACATTACATATATTATTTCATTTCTTGGATTTTAATTAATTATCATTATATTTTTTGTTCGTTATTTAATAAATTTTCTGCTCGTGCAAGCCAGCATTGATTTTTTGTGCTTTTCCCAGAAACCATTAACCCATATAGTCCAAATTTAAATAAAATAAATAAATAAATATCTTTATTGCCATTTAAAAAAAGTGACAGCAAATTGTCAAGGATGAATGAGAAAAAAAATACTTGAAAAGTTGTGATACAGTCAACACTGAATAAATTAAATAATACAAACATAATGTACACAGAATAACAACATAAACAAACAAATTAAAAAACTATGATAATAACCAAAAAAAGACGGAGGAACAGATTGAAAACAGATTAAAAATAAATTGTTTGCAATAATACAATTCACGTACAAATCTAGTGTTTTCCATAGACATATTTTATAAAAGTGGTGGAAGTGTCAATAAATCTTCAAAACTACTGAACTGAAGTATACTTTATCTGAAGTCACTTGAAACACTGTGAAATACCGGGTGCGTTTTATATATCTATATTTAACACGCTCTGTTGTTGCAAAAATCGCCAAATTTCGCAGCAAATATCCCCCGTATAAGATCAAAGGCAGTTTCACCGGTCCACGTGGAGTAAAGCACGCCTATGCGTGGACATAGCCAATGAGAAAGCGTGTATTTCAGAGCTCCGAACAAGTGCAGGTGGCTACTGAAAATTGAAACAGTTTAGCCAGTGCCGTGTAGCGGTGAATAAACGTGTTTTCTTTAGTCTGTCCGTGTTTTTTCATAGATTTTATTAGTTTGTGTGTTTTTGACTTTTGAATACTCAGTTTACTTGTTGATTTAATTGTTGTGTTGATTGTTCTTGTGTGTCCTAAATATGGCTCTTTGGAGACCTTGGGAAAATGCTCCAAGCCACGAGGAGATGGTTGATGAACCTGTGCAGGCAGAATTCTTTCATAAAGATTTAGAGGAACAGACCCAAAGAGTAATCCTAAATATGTATGATTGTCTGAAGAACGAAAATCCAGATTCCTCGCAAAATCAAATTTTAAACAGAATTTGTATCCTGACAAAAATCAGTCGGTCTACCATTTATCGGGTTATAAAAAGGGGAGATGTAGTCAACCATTCCTTCCACAGAAAGCGCATAGGGCAAAAATTAAAAAGAATAGACGTGGGTTTTCAGGAAGATATTCGTCGTATAATATACGGATTTTATAAAGAAAATTTGGTGCCCACGTTGGAAATGATACGGGATAAATTAAAAGATTATCCTGAAGATTTTTATAATTACAAATGCTTAGACTCACTGCACTTTATTGTAAAACTGTGTGGTTTTCAATACAAAAAATTAGATAAAAGAATGGTGATTATGGAGTCGTCTCGAATCGTTGAATTGCGCCAAGAATTTTTGCACAAAGTTAAAATCTATAGAGAGCAGAAAAGAAATCTGATTTACCTGGATGAAACGTGGTATGATACCCATGATGTTGTGCAGTACGGCTGGGTTGACGACAGCAACAAGTGCATTTTAAATACACCATGCAACCGTGGAAAACGAATCATTATTCTCCATGCTGGCAGTGAAAATGGATTTATACCTAATGCCTTGCTGCCAAAAATATCAAAGAATCATGTGCCGACTATCATGAGGACATGACCTCCGACTTATTTGAAAAGTGGATAGAGCAGCAGTTAATACCAAACATTTCCCCAAATTCAGTGATTATTATGGACAATGCGCCATACCATTCCCGACAGAAAAACAAAATTCCGAATACAGGCACAAAAAACAAGACATTATTGATTTTATGAAGGATAAGGGAATGGAAATACCACAAAAATCAACCAAAGCCATATTATTGGATCTTATTAAAAGACAAAAATTTGAAAAAGAGTATGTTGTTGACAATCTGCTTCAGCAAAATGGCCATGAAGTATTACGTCTACCTCCCTATTACTGCATTTTTAACCCGATTGAGTTGGTCTGGGCTGCTTTAAAAAAAAAGTAAGAAAACATAATCAGACCCCTCAATTATGTGAATCGCTATTGGCCACAATAAGAGATGCAGTATCTCATATTGCTGCCACAGACCTATGGAAGCAGTGTTCTAGGCATATTATTGAAAAAGAAAATGAATATTGTGTTTTGCCTCCTGTAAATCCCGTTGTAATTCCTCTACAAGATGACTCTAGCGACAGCTCCGAAGGCGAGGATGATATATAAATACCTATAATGTAAGTCTTTATATACCTTTTTATATACCTACCTGCTATGTTAATATTTGCCTATGTCAAACGTTGGAATTCTGTAATTTTTCCATTTCTTAACTTTCAGTCAACATAAATTAAACTCCCAGCATAAGTATTTTTTATCCCAAATCAAAAACATAAGAAGATAGTAAAATCCATTTATTGTGATATAAAAACATTATTATTATCGTTCTAAATAAATGACCGCACGCCTATGATACGTCATGAAATTACAAAGGACGCGCCGACCAAAGGTTTTTATGCTATTTCAAGTGACTTCAGATAAAGTATACACTTCTGTTTTTCTTTGCTCTTCTCCTTTCCTCCTCTCTCTTTTTCCTTCTATTGTCTAGTTTGTGGGCAATCAGGACTGACAGATTCGAATAGCTTAATTAGACAGTGACTAATGGGCAAAAGTGCATTGGACAAACAAATAACGAATACTAGAATATGAAGATTCTTTCATCTGGAATAGATATCTGATGAATGACACATTAACTCGACTTTCTATATTTTTATTAAACCCAGCAATGAACGCTCAATCAAAATAAAATGCGTTGAGCTGGAAAACAGAAAAACGCACAAGAAAAAGCAAATTCCTAGAACCGCTTAGATCTCTATTCCCACTTTCTCTTAGGTCATGCGGTACAACTTCTCGGTATTCGAAGTACGATGGTGCGACCTACATTAGATGAAAACCTAGCAGCGCACTGATGCCAAATCGACGGATTATTCGAGAACAAATTAAGTAGGCAGATTGTGCAATCAAAGACAATCGTCTAGAGATTGACAGGTTTCCTGATGGGCAGAAATAGAACTGTCTCTGAATGTGCAAACAAAAATTTATTAAAGAGAAAAGAGAAATGGAAGAGAACAAACGACGTCAAGCAGGTTGACTCTGCACTCTCCTAGCAACGCTGCTCATAAAGAAGTGTATTAGAAAAAAGTTAGCTACAAACCAGTATAACCAAAAAATGAAATGCCTCTAGTCAGTCAAAGAGTCCCATACAATTCGTTCATAGTCCCCACACGTTGGAATACGTTGCAATCTATGAATTTTTTCCCTGCCGCGTGGTCGCCTTAATGCATCCGGTTGAACCACAAAAATTGCATATTTGCATGATTATGGAGATTGTTAAGATTTGACAACCTTCCTCCTCCCTCTAGGAGGGAAAGTTTTGGAGGCACATACATCCTCAGAAGAGTATCTCTTACCGATGATCCTGTGGGCGCCCATTAACGTTCTTGCTTACTAACCTCCCGCACGTCAGCCTCCACCGCAACACAGACACAAAGTATTTCTAACAATATTTTTCTCGCTTTACCTGTCATTGGACCAACGGGGGGGTTACACTGGTCAAAAAACTTCCGTCACAGTGGCGGATTTAAGTAATGGCAAAAGGGACATTGCCCCCATGACCCCTCTGGATCCGCGTCTGCATTGGAAAGCATTTGGCTCCATAATATTTGACTATTCAGGGCTAAAATTGTGCAAGGAAGTCAAAACTGGCCTTCAAATTGCGATAGGACGATTCGTTCAGCAGATATTTCAGTCGAAAGTTTTTTTTTCGAAATGCCAATATGTGGTTTTATTTGCCGGATAAGGATGCGGGATTATGTTGCACTGGTTTGTTAGGCTAACAATTATAATTTGCAAAACGAAAAATGTGAATTACGTTGTTGTAGCATGAAACAACTTAAGGAAATGAGTGGAACAGGTGAAAAGACAAAATTTTGAAAAGGAAAAAGTCTATGAACTAGAGCCATGATAGAGTTAATAGAGTAATATGAATCTTATTCCAATTTGTGGGAGTGCTCGTTAGAAAGCTAAAAAGAATAAAAATCTGGGAAAATCAGCTATAGACTTATCGACAGCAAGATAATAACAAGCAGACGCATTCCTTCTACGCTCTTTTGTTTGCATCTTTGACCCGCAATTATATATTTGATAATGATCAGTAATTTTATGAAGCACGTTTCTCTGTCTCTCTCACGTAGGTACTGTGGAATCAGCTGAGCTCAAAGTCACACTGTCTCATGTGAGAGCAATAATTGCAAGTAGCATCGAGTGTTTCACGTAAATCCTCATGTTCTGTGGAAACAAGTTTCTCTCTTGAGATTTTGGTCTCCATCTGGACACTCGGCTCCAAGAAGATAAAACGCAGGATAGTTTTCCGTTCCGCAGTTAAGTCCTGCAACGTCGCTATGGAAGCGTACTCACGTCTATGTGCGGTCAACAAGAGAGAAAGAGAATTGGGTGCGAGTCTGTATACTGGAGCCAATGTGAAGGCGGTACCAGTGAAATCAAAAAGTACAGTACGATGGCCGTTTATATATATTTATATTATTATATTTTATCATCATGCAAGCAGAGATCCACTATTACTAATTTGGCAACGCTCAGGCAATAATTATGCGAAATAACAATCAATAAATAGATATTTCAATATAGCAACGCTTATTAACTTATTTTCAGGGCTTCTTATGAGTATATTAGAATACGGTGCACTCATTTGAAGCCCTACCTGTGAACTCTACAAAGATAATATTGAAAAAGTTCAAAATAAATTTCTAAAATATCTATGCTATAGGAGTGATGGTGTCTAGCCTCCAAGAGGATACTCATTATTATTGAATAGATTTGGTGTCCCTTCTTTGGAGAGAACAAGCGTCGATCATATTTTTATACAAGTTACCTCATGGTAACATCGACTGCCATTCTTTTCGCCTATTATATATTATTCATATTCATAGTTTCTTCTCTCTCTACTTAAAGCGCCTTTCTATTTTTTGTGTTTTTTTCTCTTTATGGCACGCATACTGTGTAAATTTAATTGGTATATGTATTGCCATTCAGCTCCTATAACGGTTTCAAGTCTCGCCTTTATACAGCATCGTCTAGAGTACCACAGGGTTCGAATTTGGGACCACTGCTCTTTTAGCTCTTTATTAATGATATAAGTAACAATATTTATTGTGGAATATTGATATTGCCGATGACTTGAAATTGTACTTTGAAATGAACAACATTAATGATTGTATCTGCAGTGTCAGTTATCGGATTGTTGAAAAAACTGCATGTGAATATTTTTATATGCAAACCCAAATAACCTTGAAGGAAAGGTATTATCACGGCATGAAGCGGTTCGTTGGTGTGACATTTGACAGTAGGATCAGTTTTGACTGACACAGCTCTATTAGCACTATTGACAATTTGAGCTATTGTTAGAAACTGCATGGTTGACTGCATTAAAAGCATTATACATTGGTGTTTAGGATTCACTGTTAACCTGCATACTCTTTTCAACGATGTAACAATTTCTCAGAGTTGTTCACTATCTGACCGCACATCAATCTCACCAGTGTTCTTTCTCATAAGCCTCACTTTCTGATCATATAGTTCTTTGCTGCATCTCTATAAATCAACCTTATCAGCGTCCTAATCTAACCCTTTTCTTTATATTTATCCAGCATCCAGCATTCACTCACTCATACAACATCCCATCGCAAACTCAAGCAACATCTATTCAACTCTCATCAGATCGGCATCAAAAACATTTCACTACCCATTTTCCACGTCACGTTCACGAAAGAGCTCACATTACTATTAAACAACTGAGACCACTAGAGCACTCTGCAATTGCCAATTTGATTTATTCATGTTTCTTTCCGACACAAGACACATGATTTCTGAATCGCACTAAATCAAGACTCACGTAGTGATTTCGATCCCACTTCTGATGCTATAAACCGTTAAAATGCGTGAATTAATAAAATTATCAGGGATTTCAGTAATGAGACGGGTTAGCCATGTGAACCGCCTGGATGCTGGTTGCCAATGAATAGCAAATACCCTCTTTTTACCTGCTTAAAGGCAAACCAAATGTAAGCAAGTTCAGAGCAATGAAACCATATATACGCGGTTGCTCTTGAAGAGATGAATAACAAATGTTCATTTCCTCCTATGAGAATATAAAAGGATCCCCTCGTAGCTATGAGCAGCCAATGACCCATGGCACCGTCCAACACCCAGCAGCTAGCACCGCACAGGCTCGCGACTCGCCACCAACGAGTCACAATAGCGATGGTCGAACCGGCGAGGACGGCCGACGAAGCAACGGGCCAAGGTGGTTCCCAAGTGGTACGCGGGTCCAGTCCGGGCGAGCGCGGCTGTCTACGGTACCGCTGTGCCCGCGTCCGTGAGGTCTCCGATGATAGGCTGCGTCCGACACAGTGGCGCTGGTTTTCGGGCACAGGGCATGCAAAACAGCAAATATTACGCCGCACAGACCTATAATCCGCTAGATGACAGCTCAGTTGTTAGTTAGTTCATCTCTTCATCGGTGCTTGCGTGGTTACACAGGTCGAAGTAGAAGTTAAAATACATAAGTGTAAATTCACAAAACTATACAATTTGTTGGAAAGAACATTAACAGAAAACTGTAAAAAACAACATTAACAGAAAAACTGTAAAATGATAAGATTCAAAACTATAGAACAAGCACACCCGAACAAATTAACAAACAGAACAAAAGTAAACAAGCACACTACACCATCATTAAAAGAGATCCGAAAAGCTTTACTTAAAAATTCCTCGATGTTATAGAAAGCTTCCTTGATAAGGTACGCTTTAATTCTATACTTAAATGAGCCTCCGGAAGAACATTATAAAAGTGGATTCCATAGTCGTTAGAACCGTTTCAATGTTTAAGAATATTTAACTTGAGCATGTTACGTGTATTGTAACTATGTACAGCCTTATGCGTTTTGTATAGATCCAAATTGATGTGTACATAACATAAGCAGATAAATGATTAATGCCTCCTTACATAGCTGCATATAACTCAGAATTGCGATGACTTTTTATAGTACAAATACTTTAGGCATATGCACATAGTGGCCCCAGTTCAAGAGTGCATATGACATTCTTGAGTGGAAGTCTTAAACCATAGCTCCTCCTAAGTCCAACCCGCAGCTCTCCAGCGCAAAACATATACACTGAACAGAGTACTCATATTCAGCGCCCCAAACTACTTTATTGGGCAAAGCTTCGCTCACATGTAGACATCAATAATAAAAGTCTAGATGTTAAATTACTTCGGATTCAGTCTTAGCGACCCAAAATACCTGCATGTGAACCACATTTAAAGCACTGTTCGTACATTGTCTCCACCCATGATTTCTTTCTCCTCCTACCTTCGCTCGGATGAAATCGTGCTACACAATTCCTAATGCCTCACGTTGCCAAGTCGCCTCTTCTCAAGTCCCTGACAAGGTTAACTCATCCGAAGAGAATCAAAACAGAGATGATTGCGAGTCGATGAAGTGTGAAATATTTAAATTGATTTGGCTTATTTACATCCGGTTGATTGAATACACGTCAATTCAACGTGTTCTGCTGATAGAACCGCTCGAATTGAAAATATGTGAAAAACTAGACTAATTTTTTTTTTAAAGAGGGGGGAATGCGTTATGCACCATACCATAGCCCGAGCTACGGCGTGTGTGGGACTCCAGGTTGTCTTGAGGAGACCACCTAATACCCACTAAACCCTAACTTCCGCGTGGCCCGACTCATCAGCGTCTCGGTAGGCCATGTGTTGTGCGTGACCTGCGGTCTGCTACAACGTCTCCTCATGTGTTTCAGTCTCTGGGAACGCCGGGTTGGTTCCCTTTACCTCGCACATTCTATCGATGTCGCTAAGTGATCATCGATAGAGGGTCTGCTAGGTTCTCTTGAAACTCTTGTTTTAGAAAAATCAAGAGTTTCAAGTCCTCTTACCTATATGTTGTTCCTGGTCCTGGTCCTGATGGGTCCTGGTCCTGGTGGGTCCTGATCGTGGCGGGTCCTGGTCCTGGTTGGTCCTGGTCCTGGTGGGTCCTGGTCCCGGTGGGTCCTGGTCCCGGTGGTTCCTGGTCCTCTGCATCCACGCCGTGAGGGGGGGGAGCAACCGCGGGTTCTCCTAGTCTCCTAGTCAAGGTTCCAGTTAGCGGGTGCCAACTGGGACCTTGGTCTAGGGTATCTGGTACTGCGGTTGCGAGGCCTCTCGTCCGGATTGTAGTCCATGAGGAATCGTAGCTGCTCGTTCGGGTGGTCCTGAGCTTTCTGGAAGGTCTTCTCCGCTTTTTTCCTCATGTACTCGTCAATGGTGTCCCAATGCAGGTCTCTACGCAAGGTTGAGTTTCTTACGTGGGATGGTGCACTGGTGGCGATCCGGAGTAGCTTCATCTCTAGAGCAGCAAGTCGCTTGCGGTAGCTGGGAGCAGCGTACCCCCAGACCGCGGAGGCGTAAGCGAGCTGAGGTCTGGCGATGGCCTTGATCAGCCGTAGCTTGGTCGCTAGCGGCATCCGGCTGTGTCTACCCAGTAATGGGTAGAGTTGGGCCATGGCTGCTCTGGTCTTTGCGATGACAGCTTCTATGTGGTCTTTCCAGGTGAGGGACTTGTTAAATACGACCCCCAGATATTTGACTCCACTGGATATCTTCGTCGAAGATGGATGCTTCGAGAGGTCTTGCAATCCTTCTTCGTTGAATGAAGATTGCCTGCGTCTTCTGGACGTTGATGCGGATTTTCCATTTCACGCATCAGTCCTGGATGTGGTCCAGTTCATCCTGTAGTCTCCTACGGATGATCTCGGGTCGTCGATGCTTGGCGGCTATAGCAGTGTCGTCTGCATATAGGGCCAGCATTGTGTCAGCTGTCTTCGGTACGTCGTAAGTGGAGATGTTGTAGAGCAGGGGGGCTAGGGCTGACCGCTGGGTTACGCCTGCTTCCAGCTGTCTTCTTGTCGAGTGGCATGTATCCTCTTCACCGTGAACCATCTTTGTGTTAGATAGCTCTGGATCAGTTGGCACACCTTTGCATCGATTCCGGCGGCTTCCATTTTGGCGATGAGTCCATCGTGCCAAACTTGATCGAAGTCTCGTTCCACGTCCAGCAGGACGTGGCCGGTTGCCTCCTGGACATTGAAGCCACTGGTGATGTTTTCTGTCAGTCGTAGCCCTTGGAGTTCCGTGTTGTGGAAGGATCTGAAGCCGAAT